CGGTCACGGAGAGGCACAAGAAACTTACGAGTCTTACAGTAAGACCTTTTCTCTTTTCTGCATGCATCATTGAGTGAAATGTGCAGCTTTTTTTGGCACATCTTTGAGACAATACAGCCAGATTATACTACAGACTCTAATGTAAAACCTTTATCATGCTTAAACTACAGCGTAAACCTGTGTCTGATGCCAGGAACACAGTAAGATGCACTAAGCTGTCTTAGTTGTCTATGTTAAGGGTGTGTGTTTGTGTTTCTAGCTGAAGATAACTGGGAGGGCGGAGCTTGGGGCAGTGCCGGTGGAAAGGCTCAGGCTGCCCGACAGGGCAAAGCGTATCGGGAACATCCATACGGCAGATACTGAGAGCTGTCCGTCACTACGGTTGCCTGGCAACATCCTCCCCTCGTAACCTCTTGTAACCACCTAAAGTAATTCTAGTTATTTTTGTCTTCTGTTTTGGTTAAGACTTCTTTTTAATATTCTGAATCTACTCTTTAAGTAGGACGATGACCATAAGTTCAATGTGACATTTTACATTTGCGATTTATATGCTGTGCTTATTCTCTTTGCATTTGTTTTGTTTGTTTAGTTTTGCTGTTTTTGTTCATTTATTTTAATGCTTAAGTGTTTCTTCTCTGAAAAAGTTGATACCTGAATGCTAGATAATTAGCTGATGGTCATGTGTAAAATTACTTGCTAAAAAGAAGAAAACTGCTTGTTAATGTCACTTAGACTTATTCCAAACGCGCTTTTGTAAGGCATAACAAAAACACTTCGAGGAATGCACAAAAATATTAGTTCCTGTACAAACCAACATGTTACTTATTTTTCAAAGAACAAATTCTATTTGGTTTGAGGCTATTTGTTGAAAGTCTCGTAAAAACATTCAAACTTCACATCTACTGATTAGTTTTGTTAAATGAGCAAAACAAATATTGCAAAGTTTGTAGTTTACTTGTAGTCTGACAAAAAGGACAACTCTCTCAAATCTTTGTACGTACAATACTCCAATATTAAAAACTTGTTCTTTGGTGTTTATAGATTTGCAGTTTTCGAAATATTAGCAAAATTGTGTGCATTTTCTAACTAGGGAACTAAATATGTCCAAAATGTCTCCCTATCGGTTTGTCAATAAAGCATAGTTTTCTTTTACAGCCTTCAAAACTTTTGTATTTGACTTTTTTTATTAAAGTGCTAATATTCATCCCATATAAAACTGTCCAACTGTTGCAAACTGTAAAACTGTCCAAATTCTGCATGCAGTTTATAACATCACAACATTTGGATATAAAACTTGTTTTACTCAATGCTGTTCAAAATATATTGTGTATAAACCGTTGATAAATAGCCTGCAATTATTTGTATTAAGTAGATCGTGAAAAATGTGCATATTATGTCTTGTACAGGAACAATTGACCTCAATATTATTAAAGACAAATATTTCCAAAATGTTACCTTGGTTCCCCCAACAAGCTAATCTCAATTCTTTGTGTTTAATCATTTAAAGGGGTCATATCTTTAAAATCAGCTGTTCATTCAGCTTTTGAGTGTTAATGTTCATACTATGAAAACATGCTATAACGTTTAGGACTCAAAACTTCTAAGTAAAAATGTATTCACTTTAGTGTGAACTAAATGTCTGCCTGTTTTTGGTGCAAAAACAAGTGGATTTGATTTAATATGACCCCTTTAACAAATAGTAGTCAAACTATCCAACATTAACAATGATTTATACACAATACTAAGAAAATCCTGGAATTTTTTTAATGTGTTTATACCTGTTTTAAAAGCAATAACCCTGTTGCATCAGAGTCACTAAATCCCCTCTGATGTCGCAGAGACTCTACATATCTGTCTTCTATTGAAAGGATCTTGAGGTAAGATCTGCAGAGTCACCTCTAAAAGCGCAGATACTGTAGATTCCCCTTTTTAAAAGGTAAAGTATACATGCACAAAACAATTTAGATGTTTGGTGCTCTGGTAATTTTTGTGCAAAAAAAAAAAA